TAAACCTTTTATTAACCTTTTGTGTGTGCCTGTAGTGGAGTATTAATAAGTCCCTTTTAAGCGCGCGGGTGAGGACCCACAGCCAGGCAACCCGTTTTATATGGGGGCTGCTCCGTAACAGACCCACCTGACCCATTTTGCACCCCAACCCCCACCACCCTCCTCGCCCCCTCTCCCCCCGCTGCACAACATCTGGCAAACTTCATTTGGTTTCCTGTATCTGAGAGCTCAGAGTTTTTTGTTTTATTTTGTTTGGTTGCTTGTTTTTTTGATCCACATATAGTATTGTATTTGTATTTATAGTCTGAATCCTTTCACAGCATAATGCCCTCACAATTGCTCCATGTTAATGGCAAGATTTCATTATTTTCTTATAGTTGAGTAATAAATCTTTGTGTGTGTGTACATCACATTTTCTTTATCCATTAAGATCACTTGGATGAGTGTTGTTAAGTGTCCTTTGTTGGGCATTTAGATTGTTTTCATATTTTGCTAATTGTAAATAATGCTGCAATGAACATAAAGGGTATATATATATATATCTTTTCAAGACAGTGTTTTTGATTTCTTCAAATAAATACCTAGAAGTGGATTTGGTGGACTCTGTGATAGTTCTATTTTTAATTTTTTTCTTTAGTGTCTGTTGTAACTTTGCTTTCATTTTCTGATTTTATTTCTTTGAATTTGCCTTTTAATTCATTGAGATACATCTTTTTATTTGTGATTTCTGTCCAATTTCATTTATGGAGATTGAAATAAGAAATTATAATTGCTATTTTATCTTGTTTTCTTGTTATTCTCTAGCTCCCTCATTTCTTTTTTCTTACATTTGTAGATCCCATTTTATTTTGATGGGTTTTTATATTTTATTTTGTTTCCTTTCTTTTCCAGACTTTTGTATTTTTGGTTAACCTGTGATTTCTACACAATGTCTGACACCTCACATTTTTATCTTTTTTGATCTTTTTTCTATTGATGTACAGCAAATGAATAAAGTGACAGGTTCCACATTTTCTGTTCTCAACAGTTTTGTTGTTGTAGTTTATGCCATTTAATAATGTGAGATTATCAGCAATTGTTTTTTCTATATTGAGTGTAATAGGTCATTTATATTAACCTTGATCCTGTATTTAAGGTTTAGTACCCTGTTCTGAAATGGAGTTGCACCTTTCTGATTTAATCTATTTGTGCCCTTCCTCAATTTTGCGAACTTTTTTTCAATTCAGGTAAGAATCCATGGAGACCCTGGTGGTAGAATTTTCTGGTTTTGTTTGCTTGGGAAAGTTTTTCTTTCTCTGTAATAGCTGAAGGATAGCTTTGTGGGATAGGAAAATATTGGCTGACAGTTTTTATCTTTGAGTATTTTAAAGATGTCATCTACTATCCCTTACATGTCCAGTTTCTGCTCAAAGGTCTGATAAGGTCTGACTGTTGTGCTTTAGTAGATTACATGCTTTTCCCCTTAGCCACCTATAATACTTTTTTTTTTTTTACTGACTTTTGATAGTTTTACTATTAACATACAAAAAATAATAGTTTTAGTGTGGGTCTTTTTGCTTTTTGAAAACTAGATGTTCTGTTAGCTTCCTGGACTTGTATATTCAGTTCTTTCCACCACTTTGGGAAGTTATCAACTACTGTTTCTTTTTTTTTTAAAGATTTATTTATTATTTATTTATATAAGCACTGGGTACAGTCAGAAGCGCGGGAGGGTGAGAGAATTCACCAGAGCCAGAGCAGGGAACAGAACAGGCAGATTGACAAAGTACACTGCTAAGGGGAGCAGCGGGTGGCAGGAGAGGTCTGTGCACCATGTGGGACCCTTGCCCAGCAGTTGGGGATTGAACCGGTGATGCAGAGGCTGTGGGCAGCCTCGCAACCCAGCACTCAACCACTGCGCCACCGGGGAGGCCCTCAACTACTGTTTCTTAAAATGGTTTTTTGGTTCCCTTCTTTCTCTTTTCTTCTGGGATACAATTATTTTATGTTGCCATTCCTAAGGTAATTAGACAGCTTTCATGTTATTGCTTCATTTAAATTTTGTTTTCTTTTTTTAAAGATGTATTTATTTATTTGTAGAACTGGGGTGTAGGCCAGAGGTGTGGCGTGTGAGAGGATTCACCAGAAACAGTGGGGAGCAGAACAGGTGGATCTACTCAAATACACTGATAAAGGAAGCAGTGGGGAACACGGGAGAGGTGCCATATGTAGGTCAGCAACCTGGCTGGGATCAAACTCAGGCCATGGTGATGCTGAGACCAAACCTTAGGTCACAAAGGAGGCCTTATTTTTTTTCCCTTTTTGACATCTTGTTTCTTCTTTCACCACAATCATTTCTAGGTTTCTGTCTTTCATTTTGCTTATTCATTTATCTATTGATCTAGTCTAGTTCCAATTATTTCTATAGCATTCTTCTCATTTATTGAATATTTCACATCCTGGATCTGTTAGTTTCTTATTTATAGCTTCAATATCTTAGGTAAAGTATTCCTTCTGTTAATTTTATTCCTGAGCTCATTGATTTTCTTTTATAAGTTTTCTTGTATCTCTTGGAGTTTCATGACAGCCACTATTGATTCTCTATTGATTATATCATAATCTTCCATATCTTTAACTTGCTTTCTATTCTCTCCCTGTGAAAGTTTTGATGTTTCAAGTTGCTTGTTATAGTCCTCTATCTGTGCATTTGCATTTTCTACCACCATTTTTTTTTTTTTTAATCTAGATCAGTAACTTAAGAATTAGCTGCTTTTCTTTTCGAGGAGGTGCCACTATGTCTTTATTTTTGGTTACTCCTAGCTTTTGTGAATGTTCCTGGTGACCAAGAAGAACTGAGATTGTATCAGTGGGGAGGGAAAGGGCATGGAAAAAGCTAGTCACTGTGTGGACAAACTGGGGATACCTGGCTTGCATATGTGGTCCTACTGTTATCTCTCCTTTTTAGAGTCCCAGATCTGACACTCAGCTGACTATTGGCTGTTGGTACACTTTAAGTAGCCCAGAGTTGTAGGTATGAGCACTTTCTCTGTTTACCTCTCTAACTGGACACCTAGCCTATTTGGTGCCCCATCAGCTCTGTTATTTCAGTATTTAACTGAGTCATGAGACAGGGTCCTACCCTCTTTCTAGAGCCTTTGGTCAAACTTGCAGTCCTGCCATCACCACCCTTGCCCCCCGATCTGCTACCTCTGCATTTACCACTCCATCCAACTTGTGTCAACACTGATGGATCCTGGGATAATGAAAAGAGGATTCCTTATCTATTCTCAATCTATTATCTGTGAATTAAATGAGAGAAATTGAAGAAGTATTTTATGCCACCATGATGTTGTGATCACTCCTTACTATTCTCCTTTTTAGATTAATTTCTGTGTATGGTGTAAGATAGTTGTTTAGTCTCATGCTTTTTGCATGTGACTGTCTAGTTTGTACAACATAATTTACTGAAAAACTATTCTTTCCCCACTGTATATTCTTGGCTCCTTTTCATTAATAAGTTGACTATTTAAGTGTGGGATTATTTCTGGTCTCCCCATTGCATTGATCCATGTGTCTATTTTTAATCAAGATACCATACTGTTTTGATTCATAAAGCTTTGTGATATAAATTGAAATTGCATTGTATGATAGCTCCAGCTTTGTCCTTCCTTTCTAATACTATTTTGGCTATTCAGGGTTCATTCCCTTTCTTAATTCGGTCTGGTTTTATGAATACCATCCTCTTTTATTTTATCAAAGCTCACAAGATATTTTTGCTTTTTACTCTCATTTATCAATAGAGATTAATAGACATTAATTATTAATTTAAATAGTCACTGCAAACCCCTTTCTTTAAAATCCTGGAATGAATACCAGAGGCCTTGGAACAGGTAGGCAATGGGCATAGTGTACTGTGTGAACTTATGAGGAAACCAAGGAAAGTCTTGAACTGCATCTTACTTGAGTCTTGGCAGAACATTTTATGATCTTCTTAGAACATGAGAGGATGGTAACCTGCAAGGAACAATTTTGCATTGACTTCTAATCAGCTCCCTGTTCCTCCATGAAAAACTGTTATGAGAGTTTCTCATCATCTTGCTGGTTCTGATAAAAGATTCTTCCCCAATCCCTTAGAACAAAGCTGTAGTATAAAAGTGGCTCCTCATCAATGATCAACCCCACAACTTGGGTTGCATTATCTGGCTCCTTTTGTTTCAGTGTTTCCTTGTTAATGTATACAGACAAAGGAGCTGATATTTTAGATCATTCTTCTTTTTATTGTCTTTATAAATAATAAATAATTTTTAATGAAAAGTGGCTCATTGCCCATGTACTGGACAAATCACTGAAGTCTTGCCATGTGGTCCTTGGCAAGTTGAAGTCTGAGTCCCATGCTCAGATGCTTGGAGCAGACCCACAGAGGTAAAAGCACCCCACAAACCCTCCATGAGTTTCCTTGCCATGGTCCCACATTATAAGCTGAACATCTTTGTTTTTGTAGAATTTCCCTGAATGCTCCAAGTTGCCTACCCAAGACAGTGGTTCAGTAAAGTTGTGACCTTTTCTTTATCTTCCAACTATTTGGGGATTCTGGGGATTTTCATATCACCATCTCCTCCTAGAATCACATCTACTTACTGTATAAATCCCTTAATCCTGTAACACTCATACGATATCTACTTCTCTCACTTAATCTTGACTGATAAAATCAGATTTTTTTAAGCTTACATTGAAAATCTCAAAAAAAGCATCTGTAATATATTAATATACAGAAAATCCTTTGTCTAGAAGAAGTGCTAATACAGTTGGAGATTAATTCAGCTCTAAATCCTTATATTTCTTAATTTTTAATTTCTTTTTAAGTCTTATTTCTAAGTTTTATTTCTTCTTTTTCCTTTTCCTAAAGCTTAGTAAGTCCTATCCAAATCCCTGGATCGAAAGGTAGAACTTATAGTTACAAGTCTTTATCTCCCATTCTGATGAAAAATTTTCTTTAATATCTCTTGGCAATATTTGTTTTTACTTTTATTTTAGCTCTAAAACAAATAATGGTATAGGAACATTGCTCTGAAACAATTGGATGATAAAAATAGAGAAAATTTATGACAATCATGAGACCATGTATCGTAAAGTATTTTTTAAAGAAAAATTGTGCACTAATATAAGGACATTTACTCTTAAATCTGAACACAAAACACATATACAGATGAGTTTTGAAAAATATTTTTTGTTTTACAATGTAAACCAAAACATTGACATATATTTTTCCTTAAAACTGGGTATTTACATTAATACAACTACAGTTTAAAAATACCCTTCACATATAAAATTTTCTATGTTTTCCTTATAATTTCTGTGATTTTTGTAAGGAAAGTATTTCCTTATTCTGTAAATGAAAATAGTTAATGTCAGTAGTTGAAGTGACTTGTAAGTTGTGTCAATCTTGGAGGTGGTACAAAAAATTGGTTACTTTTTATTCGAATCATGTTTTAAATATACAGAAATTTCAAGCTCAAAAGAGAAAGAAAACCAATGTAGATGAAGAGATAAAATATTTTATTCTACTTTAGAGATCATTAACAACAAAAATAGGCTAAATTAATAACTTTTGAAATTGATATTTGTAGCTATTGGTATTTCAGGTCAGATGGCTTGAGATCTTTTCTTCCCAGGCTTTAAAATTCCTAGGCTTTAAAACATTAAAGAATTCATCAGTGGGCCATTGTGGCTAGACCCTTAGATGTGGCTTTTCTGAAGCACATGTCATAGAACATTGTATACAACATCCTCATTTGAATATCAGATTAAAATGAATAAAAATATTCTTCACACCTTTACTTAATACATATTTGATTTATATATTATTATGTTTGCTGATAGCCCTAATTACAATTACTAAGTCAGTGATGTCTAGCCAAGAGTACTCACTGGAATCAATTGTAGAACTTCTTCAGATATGTAGATAAAGAACTATGGGTTTATGAAAGCAGACTCACTGGAGGACAGTACTTCTGCATGTACTTAAAAACACACAATTAAAATTTCAGTATATTTTTTCAAAATTGATAAGATGCTAAATTTAATACATAAAAAAGTGGCTGTGTGTGCCAAGACAAACTTGCAAAAAGAACAAAGTTGAAGGTTTTGTATTGCTATTTATCTTGCAACTCAGGACCCAGAACAAAAGCTGCTGAATCACAAGGAATTTTCTTATCAGAAAAACAAGCCACGTTCTGGACAATTGGTCTTTAACTGGTGACTTTAAAAAGAGGCAACATGAAAAAGTTCTAGATCTTTTATAACAATATTAATTGTACTTAGCACTAGATCATTCTAACCTAAGTAGATCTAGTCTAAAAAAAAAAAAAAAAAAAAGAGGCAACAGATCTAAATAAATGGCAGTCCCCAATCCAATTAATTGTATGCCTTTATTGTTGAAAGGGGAGAAAAAAGACCCAGATGGGCAAAAGAGACTATGACTAGAATAGAAATAATGCCAAAAATTAAGACATATAGTCCAAAAAGTAAAAATAAACCATTTTTATTCTTCTGAGAAAGTCAGGTTGAAGAGTTGGGATATAGCTTTGGAACACAAGAAGAGTTTTGGTAGAAATAATGTAATTGAAATCTTTTACCACAAGGTATGGCAAAATTCCTTTATAGACCTCTTACTATCATATACGAACTCATTCCTAGAATTCAGGAAGTGATAAATGCTATACCATGAATAATGTAGTTTAGCTTGTAAAGCTCCCAATTTAGGTTTTTGAATTCTATAATAGATTTAGAAGTGACAAGAGAAAGGCAAGGAAACTTTCCATCTGCTATCATCTGAGGTGGTGGTAGAGAGAGTTTCATATGAGGATTTGATCAGAACTGGGCAAAATTGAGCCCCACAACAGAACAGAGTATCTGAAATATCAGGAGATGCAGTAAGCTGCAACAAGGTGCAGCTTTTTGAAAATTAACATACTAAAAATAAGACCTACACAATGAATTACTACAGGATGTGAAAAAGTCTTTTTTCTTTTTCAGTTTTTTCTTTTTGCTTTAGTTTTTGTTTTACAATTTCTAATAACCCCCAACTATCATAGATGCCTCCCTACTAACCAGATACAAACATAAAAGCTAAGTGTTACATTCTGGTGTTGGAATGGTGATGACATCCTATATAGCCCTTCTCTTGAAACATACATTCTTTTGATAGATAGCAAGTCTCTGTTTTCTTAATAAAATTTGTGCAGGATTTCTGGGAGATTTAAATGTTCTATAAAAGTTTCTGATAATTTTAAGGTCCTATAATTCCTGCTAAGCCTCAGAAAACAAGATAGCTCTCTCTGTATAGTAGAAACTCAATAAAATATTCACTGACTCCATGAAAACAATCCATACATAAAAAGCCTTACACTTATTTAATACTCAGAGACTTTAGCTATAAAATTGTACATGACTGTCAGGTGGTTTCATTTATTACCAGCTTGATTACAGTTCATGGAGAAAGAGTATGCACAAAAACTAACACTGTGAATCTAAATCTCTATTAAGACTATGATAAAATATTAATAACCAAAAAACTAACATTAATTACACTTTGTAGCTGCCAGGAACTCTTTACCCTCAGGGCTTATAAATTCTGTAGCCTTTAAATTGCCTGATGCAGTGCTGGATATATAATTGTGACAGAGTGCATTTTCCAGAAATGACCCCACCAGTATTTCTCTTTTCACATGTTGGTGCAGAAAATTGCTTTCCTTCCATCAAGTGTGGAGGGTAGTCCCACTCATTTTGAAAGTGGGTGGGTTTTTGTGACTGGCTCCATGAATCATAGTAGTAGAAGGGATTCTGTGACTTCTGGGAACACTTTTGCCTGGCTATCTTGCTCTGCTGGGAGGAAGTTCAGACCTGTAGAGAGACCACAAGTAACTATCACCTTTGCAGTTTTTGCCAGATTTATCTTCTCCTGTGTAAACTAATTGCTAACTCCTTCATTCCTTTCTTGGATACTTGCTAATCACTTATGGATATTTAGGATATAATAATGTACAAAAGAATATTTCTGTTCTGTCAGCTCAGAGTGATATCTCTTAGGTTCTGCCTCTTAGGTTCTCATTACAAAAGACTATGTATAATTATATATAAATATATAATATTCATATGTTTTAATATATTAAATTTTATGAGAAAAAGGAGTCAGAAATGTTTAGGATACAAAGAGCTTTCCTAGGGGTAGAGATGGATATTGTGGTCCTTGTAATGCTTTTTGGTAAAGTTCAATCTTAGACATATCTTACAAAACCACTCTTCAGCTCAGTCAGTGCCGAATAGTACTTTTATTCATAGAAATATTGGATTATCAGTTTAACCCTGAAAATACCTGGTGATAAAAATGCATCATCTATTAAGCTCATCATTATAGGAGTGAAGTAGATTGTAAATTAGTGCTTATCATGCTCTTAACTTTTTGCAGCAGTTTCAGACATCTCTTTTACATCTCTTTAGAATGACCTGAGTTTTTCTTCAAATCACTCAGGATAGCCACCCTTCAGCAAGGGTAATTGATTTCTTTTCTAAATTGGAGGAAGAATTAGTTTGTTGGATGTAGCCCTGAGCAAAAGCAAATGTTGAGTTGACCTCATTTGCTCGATGAGAAGGGTAAATAATAAAATGAAATGCTATATTTTCTCTTTCTCTTCCCAGTTATAGTCGCTATAAAAGTCTTTTGTTAGTAATTTTTATTTATAAATAATTTTATCTCAAGGAGTTTCAATACACATAGATGCATTTTACTTCACCCTTCCCACATTCGATCATTCATGCCATTTTGATCCCTCTTTGCACTCTTCATTAGTTCATTCACATCTATTATCTGAAATGCTTAATATGCCAGCTGACTTCTCTGTCAGTAATGTTCAACTTCCCTATCCATATTTTTACTTCACCAACAGATATATAGTTCTAAATTACATGGCAATATTTTTTATCCATTTCTCAGAAACCTTCTATGGTTACTCTGTATATAAAGTCTAAACTGCCAAAGATAACTGCCCCAACTCTATCTTAATCTATTCAATCCACAAATAAATTTGAACTGCTGTCATGTTGCAGGCACAGTGTGGAGCCTCCTGATGTACCTATTCATCATCACTACAAGACTATTTCATACTCTCCCTGCCATCCAGAGAATCAGCGGTGGCCCACACTCTGTCCATTCAGACAAAGAGATCCAATCCCTCTTTCCTAAATTCCTCTTAATCTTTGTTTCCCTTATTAGTTATTTTTGTATCTTTAAATATTTCATTATAGAAATGTTCAAATATACATAAAAAAGAGAATATTATAAGAAGCACTGATGTACATACATCCCAAAATTTCAGCACCATTATCAATGATAGTCAAATTTGTTTTCTTTATCATCCCTGTCCCACATCCCCATTTCCATGGTTGAATTATGTTAAGGGAAATTTTTGTTCTTTAGTTGGAGTTATTTCTTGGAGTAGATATCAGCCACCTGACTGGACTGCAGAGTTTGGTACAGGATAGGCAGGTTATGTTCTTGACTCATTGCCCCTTTTTATTAATTTTCAGAATAATAAGAAATTGTGTGAGAAGAATTACAAGCGGGCCTATTTAGTTGTTTTATATTCAGTTTGAAATCATTGATTTTTATGTACATGATGGGTTTTGATCCATTGCAATTATTGGTTATGATACTCACATTGTCCCATTTTAATCAGAAACACCACTTCATGTGGTTCTTATTTCCTTTTAGCATAAACCATATTTATTGTAGTAGCTGCTAGAACTACAATATGTTTCATACTGCAAGCAGACCTAAAATCAGTCATTTCTCTGAAATGCTCTTTTTGCTTTTTGTGAAATATAGAATTAATGATCCATAGCTGAATGAGGGTTAAATGTTTATGCAGAGCTGGAATTCTAGCCCTTTTAAGATATCAGGGCCATTAAAATTTTTTCTGCAGACAAAATGTTTATATTTACATTTAAATTTAAATTTTAAAATTGCTGCTTTCTTGGTGTGTTGTGGTGTGTTACCATGCATTTGAAGAGATATGAATCTATGCTTATAAAACATACAATGTTGTAAACCAATGTTTCCTCAATAATAATGAGAGATTTTTATTAATTTTAAAAACTATTTTCTGTACGTCTGTTTCTTCTGTGTTAAATCATAGTTCCATCTACCACTGGCATAATTACTTTATCTCATCCTACTATGTTTACAACAGTTTCACAATAACAATAGCAGTGGTATTATTGAAAATACTAATGTCGTTACTGAGTACTGCTTTAAACTTACTGCAGTTCTTTTTTCTTTATGATATAATCATTAGGGGCAAATTTCTTGTTTTAAAGTTGATTAAAATAATTACTCTCTATGTGGTTAAGCGACTAATAACACACATGTATATATGTTATGGTTATATCTATATCCATATGTACGTGTTGAGTTGACCTCAGAATTTATGTGTGTGTGGATATAGCTATAGCTAGAGGTATCTATAGTGCGCGCACACGCAGTGGTGATCCTTGGACTCCCCTAAGTACAGTAACACCATGCTCCATCATTTTGCTTACATAGACACCTAATAATTGAAAATTTAACACTGACTTATGAATATGGATAACTCGGTCGAATTTGAGGTGAAAGGTTTCAATATCTACAGCTGAGCAGTGTGGGAAAGACATGCTGATAAAGCTTGTTGATAAGAATTTCTGTTTAGAAAAGGATGAGTGGTCAGCTAAGGTTGAGGGTTTTTTTAAAGATTTGTTTATTTATGCATACAAGAACTGGGGTACAGGCCAGAGATGTGGGGCTGGGGCTGGCAGTGAGAGGATTCACCAGAGACAGAGTGGGGAACAGACCAGGAAGATCCACTGAAATATACTGCTGAGGGGAGCAGCGGGTGAGACAGGAGAGGTCTGCTGCACCATGTGGGTTAGCTCCCTGATGGGCGATTGAATTTGTGCTGCAGTGGCTGCTGATAGTTTCATAGTGCTGACCTTTAACTTCTTGTGCCACCAAGGAGGCCCCAAGGTTGAGATATTTTGATGTAATTTTGGTTTTGTTATGTTCTTCAATTCACACTTTGCTAAAAGAAGTCTGTCTGGCTTTTAGTTATCTTCTTTTAGTGTTTTTAAACAGTGAAAATAGATATTTTAATCCATAATTCTAGTTTATTCTTAAGTCATCTTCAGTGATTTCTTTGTATAATCATTTAGCTTAATTTCGTGAAATTGTCCTACACATTGCCAAGTCCAAACACACAGCCTAATTACTTTAATATATAGGAAAGTTATGAACACAGTCTTGATAATTGTGATGAAATCCTGAATTCCAAAGTAAACAATTGGATTTCTTCTCTTTCCAAGGAAAGAGAAGGTTATTGTTTAATAACCTTTAGTTATTCTTGCAGCAATGACACAGCTAATAGAAACAAATATAAAATCTATTACAGAGATTCTTACCACATCTTAATTTAGGGCTCATACATTAGGCGCTCAGACTGGTTTAGACACAAGTAACCCAAGTACAGTGCTCAGTTCCCAGGAGGAGAAGTCAGTATTAATGAGGTGACAATTTCTGCTGTAAGTCACTAATGTTCTCATTCAAGGTGACTACATGTAGGAACAGGGGTGAAGATACAGGAATTTATTAAGATTAAAGACTGACATCTGAAAAACACAAATGGAAACAATTTAGGAGCAACTGCACTCTATATCTAGTACCACAAATAAAAAAATCAAACTGATAAAAACATGAGAATTCAAATAAGTTCCATGGAAATTTAGAGGCCATTCTAACTCTATGAAGGACTATCAAGGGAAGAACAAAGTATTTTCAGTAGAAATAAATAAAAGAACTGGTTTCAAGAAATACCTTTGGAGAGTCTGAGACCAACATTTATTCTCGGTCCCTTCATAAATTAAAATGACATTAGGGACAATTTTTAAACTGGATTAAGTAAGTTTTAATTTTTCACAAAGAAGCTCCTATATAACTCAGCACACAGCTGTGTAATTAACTACAGTTTATTCATGCAAAATCAGCTCTGCCCTTCCACTTTAATACTGAAAAACTAAATTGCTACTTAGACCAGAAATGTTGAGAAGAGAAAAAAGAATAAAAATGAGAGGCTGGGGATGCACACAGAGAGGACTGGTAAGGACTAAAACATAAAGGTGATACAGAGGTTATCGCTGCAGCAACACAGATTTTTTTTTTTTTTGTAATCTCAAAATTCCACCAATAAACTAAGCTCAACGGATTAGACACAGAAAAATAAGAGAGATAACCACACATGGATAATCTCTTCAACATAGCTAGCTAACAGTAAGATCCACAAACCCGAGAATAGGACAAGTGAGGTCAAATGACCAGCAGCAGCAAAGCCAGCACAGTGTGAGCTAGCAAAACACAGGAAAAGTTAAAATTGGAGAAATGTCCATTTTGACACCCTAACAAACCAACTGATTCTGATAACAATCACCAGAAAACCATTACAGAAAAGTTTGAGGAAGAAATCTAAATGGAGTGATCAGGCTGCCAATACCTTAATCCAACTTTCACTTTAGCCTCATTAGAGTCATGATAACTAATCATTTGTGCTATCTGATATGATCCATTTGTATGTAGCACACTGTTCCTCTAATGGACAATTGTCAAAATTGGTATCTGAATCTAACTAACTTCTAGAGGTTTTGTCTATTCTTGGGGTATATAAGGAGTAAGGAAGCAAGTTGAATGATATCAATTGACTGCTGGCAATGAGACAATTAAGGGTTAGTGTCAGGATGTAGGATATTATTCAGGACCATTGATATAATTGCTATAATAAGTCTGCGTCAGGGAAAACAAATAAGGTTAGTGATTTAAAAGTGAA